TGGCATGGTTGGCTGTCTTTGGGAAGCTCTCCAGCCTCAGCTTGGCACGGATGGCCGTCTTTGGGAAGCTCTGCACTGGCAGCTGCTGCTGTCTCAGCCTGGACTTCCACTGAAGGCTCTGGAGTTGTCGGCTGACGCCGGCACACAAGAAGAGGGAACTGGGCTTCAGTCACCTCCGCATCAATGGTAAGGTTGTGATTGATGGCAAAAGACTTCGACATGCCAAGTGCCATATACTGGTCAGGGTCCCTGCCCAACATGAATGCCTTCAGATGCACGGGCCACTCTGAAAAGTAAACATGTGCGAAATCGACTTTCTCCTTTGGTCCCTCCTTTGATCCCTCCTGACAGATCTCAGCCGCTTTCGAAGGATCTTCCTGAGCCTTCTCAGCCGCTTGTGAACACCCCTTGTCGCCCTCAAGGTCAATGACACTGTCCCCATCGTCCAGACTCATGACTTGTGTCTCCAAGTTGTCAGGGCCTGTGTGGAAAACTCTGCAGAGGAAGCTTATCAGTAATTGAATGATATGGATCGATGTCTTGTTATATATTTCTTTTTGCAACTTAGTGGCATGGACAGGGGACCCCGGAAGAAGATAGCTGCTTCTGTTGCAGTTGCAGCCCTTTCAAGAGCTTTAGCTGGTTCGTGAGGATCTGAAGCTGCTGCAGTTGATTCTTTCGGGTCTCCTCGAGTTTCTGTGGTGTAGTTTCGGGCACCGTAGGGCCTCACACGAAAACAAAGCCAAAATATGTACACTTAGCGTTTCGTCGCATGCTGACACACCATATTGCACACCCTTGCCTCTTGAAGGGGGTGTGACTTCCTGAGCTGCCTTTGCAGGCAGAGGCGTGGGCTCTGGATTTGCTGGCTCTGCTGCGGGTGCATCAGCAGACTGCGGTGGACTTGTCAAGTCTCCGCTTGGAGCCTTGGATCCAACAGAAACTAGATCTTGGGACATGGGAGTGACCAAACCCCAACAGGTTCGTTTTGTTAAACCACCAATTGGTGCGAGAAACTTCCTGCAAGCTCTTGAAAGTAGAGCCCTCCGGGTGAGTAGACACAGAAGGATCGGCGGAAACAGGATGGTCTTCACGAACTTGGGCATCCTCCAAACCTGTAGGCAAACGAAGGTGTTCGGCAAAACTCAAATTAATATGTGTGAGCACCTCGAATCAAACCCTTGCACACATTCCCATAAATTTATGTATATAAACGAGAAACAAGGGTCATCACAATCTTCACATTCTGACTCAGCTTCTTCATCCTCTTGGAAATCTTCTTCCTCCACAACCTGCAAATCCTCTTCACTTCGGGGAGGGGATCCATAGGTAGTGAGGTCCACACCCGTATCAGCCATGAGCTCTCTCACTGCCAACTCTCTTGGCAAGTGTGGCCGCCGCACGATGTTGTTATACTCCGTGAGGCAACGCCGCAAATACCAGGCTTGAGTATGGGCAATAGAACCTGGATGAGATGAAGGGTGCCCGTGTACATTGTATATATAGATGTATACCTACATACAGTTACATACATGTCATATCTAACAACCATTGCAAGTGGGGCACTGGAGATTTCCAATTTCATATGCTCATAGAGCGATTGGATGTGGAGCTGAAGCACATCCACTGAGACCCTTGACCCCAAATGGTTGATGACACACGTAAGCACGCATCTGTTGTTTACCAAAGCATCTCTGGTGATCGTTTTGCCGGAGATCTTCACCTCAGCGGAAGCTGCCGGAGAAAGACTTGCTCACCAATTTGTTCATGAATTTGATAGGACACCGTTCTGAGACCATTCTAAAAGAATGAACATCCTCCATCGTTTATAAAATCAAAGTGGCTAGCTCGTGTTGCCTGGCACCACGACGGCAGGACTCATTACCTTCCCAAGCTCTAGCAAGATCGGTCGTCATGCTATCGAGGCGTTATGGAGGTAGTCCTAACTGATCTGATGAGCCAAAACCCTCATCACACCAGAAAAAATGGTGACACGCATCGCATACGCACGTTCAGAGCTGCCAAAGAAGTAGGGGATGGGCACCACTTCGGTTTCAGCTGCCTTGCCTTGGTTTGGGATGGCTCGGGCAGCTTTCCACACATATATGAAAATGTAAACCCTTTTTTGCTGTCGAGCTGCTCACAGATTGGTGACTGCAAGCCCAGGAAAATGATTGCAGCCGCCTTTCCTCACGATTTGTGTGCGCAAACGGCGGCTACTTGGTAGATCATGTACGAGTTGAAATGAGCAGGCACGTGCATGGCAGAAGTTCATAATGATAAATGACTTGGCCACATCCATATATGAGATTCTTGCAGCCAAGTGTCGGGCTAGAGGAAATATGCATCAATGCTGTCAAACCATCAACGTTGGCCAGCTAAGGTTCCAAGTGCAGCAGCTGCGATGATGCTGCCATGATGCTGATGAAAAGGGAATGCCCATGGTGTCTACTGAGTCTACTGATGATATATATATATATGATTATGGCAAACATGATCTTCTCCAAAAAACCCTTTGGATTTCACCAACATGAGCCCTGAGGCTGCATCGGCCGCTTTGGGTTCTTTGGTTCACTGAGTGCTACCAAAGTTCAGAAAACCACAGAAATCTAGTAAATTTAGTAAAGATAGGCGTTTGGCGCAGAAAGCCATACGAAAAGTATGAAATCTACATCAATGATGAGAACTACTAGGAATTTCTCATCGAAGGAATGTCCAGGAGGGAATGGATCCTAAGGCATGTATAGTAGGGGGTCATTTCCTTATTCTGATCCTGTACTAAGCACCAGTCAGAAGATATGACCGTCCTGGCCCTTCATGTCTGGTGTCCTGTCGGGGTGGAAAGAGCCTCCTTTTTGGTGGTGTAGGTTTGTCCAGCCAGGTGACTCCATGAGAAAGGAGTTGGAATCCGTGGTGGTTTCTTCAACAAAGCATGCCATGGCTACACATTTTTTCACATTAGACAGTTGCCATTGCTAAGAGATAGAAGAGTTCATGTGAGACCTCGTACATGCCTTCGACCGTCGCACACGGACGAAAGCCTCCCAAGAGGTGGGCTAGGAGCTTCCGGTGTCTCTGACGAAGGAGCTTCCACCGAGGACCTCCGAAAAGGAAGACTGGCAGATCAAACTCCCCCTAGGCCCAGACGCCAGAACCAGTGGACAACCTTCAACTGGTTTTGGTTGGGGGGATTGGATTGGTGTCCCATGGTTTCCCACTCAACCAGAACGGACGTGGGTTCGTTTTTCGAGAGTCACAGACCGGACTGATCCCGTCCGGTCGTTGACTGGACCGGGTTGGATTTGCATTGGGAACTGGGATGAAGGAGTTGGTCCAAGATGTCATGTCTCTCCAGAATGACCCGGAACAAGAACAAGAATAGTGCTGTAACATGCACACAACACCCTCTCAGGTGTTGAGCACGGCACCTACAAGCAGTGCTATGCTCAAGTGATGAAAGAGATGGATGACCCTAAGAGTTGCGCAGGTCTCAGCATGGCACCTACAAGCATCCTTTTTGGTCCACAAGCAAACAATGACTAATCAAGACACAGATGAAGCTTCGCATGAGACATAGATGCTGGATTCTAGTGATTCTAGTGGCACAGCCGCCCTCCCATCCATCGCGCCATGGCGATGGCCACGTCCGCTGTTCCCAAAAGGCTTCAGGAGTGGCCCCCATCTTCCCCGTTCTTCAACGGCCCGCCCCGAAGCAAAACACGTCAACACGTCGAGAAAACCCGATAAATAAACCGAGCATCGGTCCGTCCGAGTCGGAGAGCGGTCCGTCCGTTTGGATGGCTCCACCCAAAAGAGGGTTCGATGAGTCCGATTTTCCCGGAGAGAAGGGAGGAAGCTCCAATAGCCGAACGACCAGGCCTGGAGTTTGTGAGGCCGAGTGAAAAAGGATGGGAGTCGGACTTGCAGATATCGTGAAGCACCTTGGAACAGGTACTGAGAGTGCTTTTTGGGCCTGGAATTCTGGGAATGGAATGGTGCTGATACTGATACCCTGATTTTGATCAAGACATGTACCCGGGTTTTGGATCCATGATCCATGGCATTTGTCAAGTGGTGGATAATCCGGGGGTTCAAAGAGTCTCAGTGTCAGAGCTCCATGTGGCAGGAGCACCACCATTGGGCCGAACCACCACAGCGCCACGCGCACGTGGCATCCCACCCACCACGGTGCGGTGGCACGACTGCGGTGGTCTTGTCTTCGCTGGCTGCGGCATGCGGTCGGGGTTCCAAGATTCGTTGAAGAAATCTCCCAACACAGGGTGGGTTCCCTCCCCCCCCACGTCGGTTTGATACGTCGCCGATCTTAAGTGTCAAGACGCTTCAAAACAAGATCCCTCGCAGAGGATCCAGGAGCGAGGCGGATCTGGAAGACGCTCCAGCAGGAGCGGAGCGCCGACTTTTCTATTCCCAAAGCCTTTGGAAGTGACCTGAAGACAAGTCTTGTCTCCACGCCGTGGACCTTGTGGTCAGCTAAATGACTTTGCCAGATTCTTTTGGAGGAGGGGATGGGGAGGCAGGAAACCGTGTCGGTGCCAAAGCTCTTAATAGGTTTCTGAGAAGATGCTCCGCAGTTTTCAATCATGATGCTAAATATTCCAGTATGCTACTTTATCTACTTTTGAGATTCTTTTGAGCTGTTTTTTTCTTGCCTTGGTCACTTCATATGGTCTCCGTGAACTTACTGCCCTTGGTACTTCTCCAGAAGCATTCCGTATCCTGTTCAAGTTTTGGAAAGGTACTTGTGTACAATACGTAGAATGAGGCTAGATGGGACAATTACACAGTCCCAACACCAACTGTTCAATGCTTTCAAACCTTTCGACAAAGACCAATGTTTCAGCACCTTTGTAGTACGTGGTACTGTGCCATCTATTCTGAAATCCCTATGTTAGTCGCGAAGGATCTTTGATCTTTGTGTAGGGTGTTGCAAGAATAGCGCAACCCTTTCCAAGCTCACAGATGTTTGGATGCTTTGGTAAGGACTGAGTGTGATTTGTTGCTGTCATTGAGCAAATAGAGGCAGTTGTACTAGCGACCTGACCAGTATCGGAAGAATTCATAGCTCATTTGAGCCGCACAGCAGAAACCTGAAAAGGATTTTGTGACTGTCCTTGCTACTAAGATCATCTAACACACACACAGTTTATATTTGTCACGAAAGCGAGCTCAGAAGGAGCTCAGCGGAAGTTGTTGTTTACGAAATATAGTGAGGCTCAAAATTGAAAGGTTCAGTGAACTAATTGATTCTTTCAATTAAAGGGAGGGGTCAGCCGAGGGGGGGGGGGCCCCCCCCAGTTAGATGTCGGGTACAAAATATTACAAACGGAAGATGGAAATCTT